ATAAAATCACACAGTTTTACTGCATTAAAATCAGAAAAAATATTATATATAAATGGTAACTTATTTTATTAACTTTTTTTTTTGCATTTACATGTTGACTGTTAAAAAAGAGGTATGTTAATAAATGGCAATTAAGTTGTTTTTTTTTTAACAACTCTTGACTTTAAAATTATTCTACTTTCTACGATATCATAATTAGCTGGAAATATCAGTATTTTTTTAATGTATTTTATTCCAAACAAAAAATAATTATTTTATATATTATATTAAGGATTGAAAAATGGTAAAATGACTTTAAGGTGCTAATTTCCTTGTTTTGCTAATTTACTGATAATCTGGGGGAAAAAATACATGTTGACTTAAAAGTAAATCCAATATTTGATTCTCTAACATTTGTGACCCTGAACCTGCACCGTGTTTGAATCGCTGTAAAAGTTTTCCAGATATCTGCTGTTTATAATACTCCACAGCTGTTTTAAGTATTTTTTTTCTGCCAGATTTTCACTTTCATTTACAGAGGAAGAGATCCGTCATCTGGTCCTGTTTGAACTTGCAGCTTTACCTGAACTTCCTGTTTTTATCTCAGGATCAGATAATTCCGACATTGAAGCCTGAACGCCTCCAAACGAGGGAGCGTCGTGATGATCCAGGTTTGGCCTCCGTCCTGTTTCCCTTCCTGCTCTCAGCTCCGTCCACATTCTTCTGCGTGATCCTGTTTTTCCTGTTCGACCTGCAGCCCGGTGTCTCTTTCTCTGTTTCGAGATGACACCGGGCAGCTCAGAGGTTGACGTAGACTGAAGGTCAGAGCTGCTGCAGGGCCTGATGAACCTCCGATGGACTCCCTGACACCAAAGAAGCCCTAAAAACACCTGCCGACTGCTCAAACTAACCGTAGCTTTGATAACAGGTTGCTTTGACGCGGCTCCATCAGCTCACAAAACACATTATTTTCACTATAAAGCTGCAAAATCAAGTTTTTCTAAAGTTCTTTTCCACCAGTTTGCGTCCACGTCATGTAATTTACACGTTTCTTTCACTTTACGTGTAAATTGTCCACAAAAGTTGAAGCTCGGTTGCGTTTCTCGACAACTAAAATGCATCTCTGGTTACGTTTTCACTGAATTTTTGCACCAGATCATTTGTGAGGAATCACAAATATGCAGCTTTTCAACCAAGCGGAGCACAAGAAGTTCAAACATGTTGTGAAACAGACATATTTTAACGCTTGTGAGAACTGAGCAGAAGTCTAAAAATAAAACCCTCATGCAGGACAGGAATCCGTTCTGGTCAAATCCTGCTACTTTCTTGTATTTCCACCTCAGACTCAGACTTTGTGGCTGTTTCAAAATTTGAAGAGTTTCAAACAACGTCGCAGAGAAAATGTGTTTCTTTTAAAATGAGAACGTCTTGTAGTTGTATTGAAACGTCGTTTTCACGTTTGTTTTCAGCCATTTTTTTTGTTTTTGTTTACGCTGCAGAACTATTTGGTTACGTTCAAGAACAGATGATGGTTTGAGATCCAAACCAAGATTTAAAAAAAAAAAAAAGAGACAGGCACTGCAGTTCCTCCAATGTCCACTTGAGGCTGTAAAGGTGAGCTCTCCGTGTTAAAGAGTGTTCCCATTTTAGACAAATTAATAAAAGTCTCACATTTACCTAGAAAAGGTCTTAATGACCTTTCTGTACGCAGGTTTCTTCACATACAGTGGACTTCTTCTTTTCCCACTAACAGAATAGAACAACTAAATTCCAGAGAGCTGTCTGCACTGGGGGGGAAAGCCTCTATTGGATAATAAATCAGTGGTGATGTTTCTCTCCTGCAGTGCTGGCGGACAAACTGCGCAGCGTGGTGGCTCAGATGGAGGAGACGATAGACACACGACTGTGAACTCAACTTCAGCAAACACATACAGATCCAGTCAAAGGTTTGGACCCGCCTGCTTAGTCACTGGTTTTACTGTTTTAGTGTGTTGAGCATTACTGCAGACACCAAAAGTATCTGAAAACACACTCAGATTTATATTGTAGGCAACAGAGGTGCAGTGGCGAAGCCTAAACTTAAAGCCACTGAGGGCTGCATAGACGGCAGAGGGGGGAAGTAACGAAGTACAAAAGTACTTTGTTCCTGTACTTAAGTAGATTTTGCAGGTATCTGTACTTTACTTGAGTATTAATCCCTACATTTGAACACAAACATCTGGACTTTCTACTCCTTACATTCTCTAAACTGCCTCGTTATTTGTTTCAGCCTCTGTGGATGACGACACGACGTAAAAGATGAAACAACAAACGTCTTCATCTTTACCAGCAGTGAAGCTCAACACAGGCCTGCCTGCCTCAGCTGCCTGCCAGAGGCTGTTCAGCACCGCAGGACTGATGTTCAGACCCAAACGGGCCCGTCTTCATTCAGAACCAGCTTCTGCTGAGGCTCAATAACAGATGTTGGTAGTCATGAAGAGACGAGTGTTTCCATGTTGATTATAATGTTAAATGTTCATAAAGTTGCTGAAATGGGAAACTGTCCAGTGATGATTTTCTCTGTAGCAGCACTTAAAGGATGAAAACAATCCTATTGTGTGCTTAAAAGGTTTTTCATTCTGCAGAGTTATCAAAGAGGCATCATGTATCATTGAAGCTAAAAATTCATTTCTGCTTTTTACTTTTGTGCTTAAGTAACTTTCTGAACCTGTACTTTTTTACTTTTACTTGAGTAAAGGAGTTGAATCAGTTCTTCTACTGTTACCAGAGTCTATTTTTACACAAGTATCTCTACTTCTACTTAAGTAAAGAATGTGAGGACTTTAGCATCTCTTAGACAGTGATGGTGGTCTGACGCGCTCCCTGCCGGTGAAATGAACGGTCCAAACCAACGTCTGGAGTTGTATGAGTTTATTTGCTCACCTCAGTCCCACATTAAGTTGACACATACAAGTGCTTTTACCAAGTTCACCAACAAAGAGTAGCAGCTCCAATAGCGTGCTGCCACGTGATAGACGTTGAGTGTTTTATCTGAAAGTAACCTTGAACCCAGTGTCTTCTGTTTTGGAGTTCAAAATGTTTTTGTTGCAGAAATAAAAGTTCATTTTCTCTGTAGCAGCTCATTGATTTCATAAATTCAACACTCTGTAGTTTTTTATACACACATAAAGGTAGAAAACGATGTGTGCAGTTTTATCTTCATTATAGATGTCAGAAGGGTTTTGTGGCTCCAGGTCCAAATGGCTCTTTGAGTGTTTCAGGTTGATGATTCTGCCCAAACTCAACGTAGTTTGTTCCCTGAGCATCATTTTTTATTAGAAGTTGTCTTAACGCAAAAAAAAAAAGGTGCAAACAGTTGCTTGAATTCTTTTTGTTGAAACCAAACATATTTTTTAGGTGTACCACTGTGCAGGTCAAGATAGTGAAACAACTGTTTTTTTTTCTGTTTTATTCACAGGTTTTTAACCGTCACTGTTCATATTTCTGTGTGTTCTCTGTTTAGGATTTAAAACATCAGCAGTAATGTTCAACAGAAAACACCAACTTGGAGCCAAAATGTCTCGGTACAACAAAGTCTAGTAAACTTTGGACTTTGTAGAAACTTAAACTGTCCTGAAAAATCCTTTCTATCCAGTCACAGTGTTCTCTTTATATTTAAAGTTCCTCTTGTAGGTGATTCTATTCTTTATTTTATAATGTTGTGGTCTGTAAGCCAACAAGCAGCACGTCTCTGTTTCTCTCCATCACCATCACAATAACATCCTCTCTCTGTTGAACCCTGTGACGGAGCGACGCCG